TATATATATATATATATATATTGCATGCAGTGTTGTGCTGAAGTGGAGCTGGTGAATATGTTTTTAAAAAAAAGAGTCTTACTAAATAGATCAGTGATAGCCTTATTGATCGCTAGTTACTGCTAGCTTCTCGGGAATATTTTTGGTAGGTCGCGTTTACGTTCTTTTCGGCTAACCTGGATTTCTCCACTGAGCTGATGCAAGATTTTATTTTATGACTACCAATGTTCAACTCCATAGCCTTGTAATTCTGAACCCAATCCAGAAGACAAGGAAACTCTTGAACCAAGTATTGGGAGAAATTTGCCTTCGTGGAGGACTTTCTGATGGAACTAATCCGCATTTGCGTTACATGGAGAGAAAAACCTCCCACGGTTAGAATGACGGCAAGGGGACTCTAACCCATGATCCGTCTACCACTGGGCTGGGGATATTTTACATTAGCACTGTGTCGGTGCTATCTGGGTGCGGAATTCGTATCGATCAGCCATTGCTGTGATTCGAACCTGGATGTCACCTCATTGGAAGGCGGATGCTCTATCCCCTGAGCCAACACGGGTCAGATGATGTAAGATTGCAGGGTTAAAAGATGTGAGATTTTTAAAAAAAAAAATTTTGTTGTTCTTTTAGTTGATAGATTATAGAAGGATTTAAAAGCAGCACAATAGCCCTGAAGCTTTATGAGTTTGGCGACCACTTATATAAATGGATGTTATGGACAGTCAGAATCTGCTAACACTCACCTCGGTTCGCAATGTGCAATCCTGAATTCGAATGTCAGCCTGGTCACAAACATATCACTCTCTAGTCTCACCTCGTTGATGGAAGGGGGCGGCAAGGCGATGGCCATGGCCACCATGCCCATAACAGTTTGTGGCCCTGCCCCAGCCCCCTGTTGCTTGCGACCGGAGAAATTGTACTGAGGTCTCATGTGAGACAGGACCAACACTACCTGAAAATAAACATAGTGTAATGCTTTTGGTTGTTGAAAGAACTTTTTTTAAATAAAATACTCAGATCTGAACTAGATCATTAAACTTCAATTAGTAAAGGCGTGACATATTACACCAAAAATAGATGGAGAGGCTTGGAAACTTACCCTATAGCCTGAACTTTTAAAATGGCACCCACGCTTCGTGAGTGTAGACTTCATTCTTATGCAGAAAGATCTGTCCATCCCTTTGTATGGTGTATTG